CCCGGCGTCGCGGACAGAGCCAGAAGCCGCCACTAAGTGAGAGCTGCGCTGTGATGCGGTCATTTATGGGAGACTTCGCATCGGAGGCACTGGAGATGGGAGGTTCGATTTTGTGATATTATGTGTGAGTATATATGCGTATACGCATACGAGATATATATAGGTGATGCGTACTGTGTGCGCGAGTAAGGTACACGCGGGCATAGTAAAGATTCTGTTTTTACTTTAAAAGGAGTTATCCATTTGCCACTGGCTACTGTACAGGTAAGACGTGCTGTGGTGAAGTGAAGCTCCCCGTTTTCCTTCTGATTCTAACTACCCGCTCCGGACAAGGCTCCACCTGCCAGTTTCCTTTCTGTAGGCGTGACAGCATAGACACTCGTGAAGTGTTAGAAGTTTTTCTATACTTCTAACACCTCCCCAAACTTTGGTCGCCCTTCCACCTGATGTGACAGCTTTTCCTCCCAACAAAGTATCCCATTCGACTGTCACGGAACCCACAGCCCTTGTCACCCGCTGTGTCTCCTTGGGTTTCATGGCAGTTCCCTAAGTTGTCAAGGACAATGACCCATACAAGTGGCGTTAAGTGACACAGAACCAACAAATGACTATGGGTTGAGGTGACCCAGGACACAGGGGTCGGGCCGGACCTTGGCAGGTGGCATGGGGAAGCAGGTCAGCAGGTAGCCCAGGAAGCTCCCTTGAGACGGTTTCTGGCGCTCCCTTAGTGACAGGGTGAGTCTGCATACACTGCAAGGGAAGCTTTGTTTCTCCAGAGACCCGGCACGGCCGAGGGCCCCGTGGGCTGACTCAGGGAGGGTCTTGGACTCAGTGCAGCCTTTCATCCTCAAGTCTTCAGACTCCCATCCTGCCGGGCTTGCTGTCCCGCAGCTGGTGGCTTGGAGGGCAGGGGGACATTCTCAGGTGCTGCCCTTCGTTTTGACTTGTTAGGGTTCCCTTGCTGTGATGTCCTGCAGGGTCTGGGACTTTAGAAGTCAAAGCCTTTTCCCTATTCTGCTCCAAATCCTTTAAGGAATGACTGGCACGGGGTTCAGATGCCCAGTGTGGGAAAGAGCAGGGCAGGAAGACCATTGGTTAATCATTCTCAATAATATCCTGAAAGATGGGATTTTATCCTCACAAAACTGGAGTTCAGAGAGGTTGAGCAACTTGCCTGGAGACACACATCTGCTAACTTTGGGGTCCATAGGCAGGATGTCTGAGCGGACAGAGTGTGGCCAGGAGACAGAGGTTGGCTCTAAGGGAAGGCTTAAGGGGGTGCGCTGTCAACAAAGCAGGTGGATGGAGAACCCAGGAACAGCGAGAGTGAGTGGCCAGGAGGCCCGGCACTCTGTGGGCAGGAGGGGAGAGGGCTGGCTGAGCGCTGAGGGACCTCAGAGGCCACGAGCTCAGCATGCCCCCACGAGGGGCAGGAGGAAGGAAACAGCCCCTCCTGCTTCCTGCTGCCTCCCTGCCAGTGACGTCATGGTGGAACCGGAAGGGGCTGGGGCCGGGCAGTGGTACCCACGGCTCCTTACGGCTTTTGTGAGCAGGTTGTTAAACACAGCCATTACTAAAAATTAAATTATAACTTGCATTAATGATACAAAAAAGGAAGTTAATACTCAAGGTGTGTCCCTTTCCAGTGATTTGATTGTCAAGTAAAGTGCAGTTTTCCTGTGAAGTTAACACTCATCTTGCTGTACTCCATCGCTGAGGGCCCGTGGTCTAGCAGGGTCTGAGGTGGAAACGGTGTTCTGGGTAATGTGGCTTCTTGGAGCTCTGCCTACTTGGTAGTCACTGGCCCTGGGTTGGTAGCTTGTGTATTTACACCACTGAGACTAGCACATAATCTGTTGTGTTTTTTTTTTTTTAAGATTTCTTTATTTATGCCTACAAGACCTAAGGCACAGAGGGGTGGGTGCGGTGGGTGAGAGGGTTCACCAGAGACAGATCAGGGAGCAGAACAGGAGGATCTACGGAAACGCACTGCTGAGGGGAGCAGTAGGGAGACAGGAGAGGTCTGCGGCGCCATGAGGGTCACTCCCTGGCCGGGGATCAAACTTGTGCTGCAGTAGCTGCGGCTGGCTTCACGGTGCTGAGACTTACCCGGTTGTGCCACTGGGGAGGGCCTCAGTAAATAATTTGTTAATTGTTAAATTGACTTATTCTTTTGTATGGTTTCTAGATTTCAAGAAAGTGATGGCAAATAAATTAATAAGGCAGATGAAATTTCATAGTTGTCTCTGCTGCTTCTAAATGTGAGGAAGGATTTTTCAAATGTTTCAAAACGATCATCCAAATTAGCAAAATATTGCTTCCTGTGGAGAATGAATGAAATTTCTTAGTGATTTTACCTTTGGCTTTCTTGTTAAGGGGAACAGAATATCACCCGGTATTCATGCCATGCATGCTGCATTCATCTGTCAATTCCAATCAGATTAACTAGGGGCAGCAGAGTTCTGCAAAAATCAATGAAAGCTTTCTTCAAGAATCAATTTGCCATATGTAATTTATGATTAGTAGTATTGTACATTTTATTAGTGCTTGTAATAAAAAAATTTAAAGCTACTGCCATATTATCATGTTAACAAATACATTTTCTATTTAATAGTGTATGGCCAAAAACAAAAGTCCCCTAGCCCTCATTTCTTTTTGCCATTTTTCTATCCATTATGGTGGATAGTCTCTCTCTCTCTCTCTCTGTCTCACACACACACACACACACACACACACACACACACACAATTCCATGGGACTAAATATAATCACTTCTACTTTGAGTATTTCTAATGACCGATAACTTTTTTTTTTTGCTAGATAGATTACATTTTCTGCTGATGCAAAATAAATTTCTCCCCACTGCGATAGGACAATGATCTTGCAAAACTCTTTGCCAGCGTTTTCTCTCTAATCACAGGCCCGTTTGGGTAGGCTAAACTCTTGCGGGACCATCAACCCTGCTTGATACCAATTTCCAATTTAGGGATCTCAAAGAGTTGACGAGAAGAAGTTGCATTTGAGTCCTGCTTGCTGACTCCAGCGGATTAGAAGCCAGAGGCTCCTCAGCGTCTGCCCATGTCCAGCGTCTGCCGCCGCGAGTCGCTGGCCCTGGCGGACGCCGTGTTTCCCCGACCTCCCGGCAGGGGGCGCTGCATGGGCAGGCTCTCCCCGAAAGGGCTCCGGAGCTAAGGCGAGGTCCAGCTCCTGCTCCCCTGATGCTGGGCGGGTGACTGGCAAGCAGAGCGGCGGCACGCCTCTGGGTTCTACTGAAAACGTGAGAAGAGGCAGAGTGCTGCGCTGGCTGGGATGCTGGAGGGTGCTGGAGGAGGGGGCGAGAGGTAGGAAAAGCGAATCTTTTCTGCCAAGAACAGTATGACCAGCCGTGCGAGGTCTCCTAGGTGTGGCGAAACAGCTGAGTTTCTGGGTGGGGGCAGGTTTGTGGATTTTTTCCAAATAGTTTCACCCCCTTCCCCCCACTCCATTGCCTCATGGGGGAAGGGGGCGGAGGCAGAGAGCCCACTCGGGGAGACAGGCAGACAGGCCTTCCTGATCACAAACAAGTTAAAGCCTCCGTGAGGACCTCGGGTCTCAGAATGTTGGGGAGAAATCCCGAGGGATGGCAGAACAGAAGCTGCCCAGAGTTGGGGTTCCCAGGAAGGGAGAGAAAAAAAGATTCCCTTGAGAAGGGGAAGGAAGTATTGTAGTTTCTAGGTTTGTCCTTCCTGGGAAAGACATGGAGATGCCAAGACCCTGGTCATAGCGAGGGTACCAAGAGCAGAGGCCTGGCCCTCTGCTTGGGTGGGGAGAGCCTTTCCAGGGGCTCACCCCCAGTGTGAATGAGGTCAAGGGCCCAAGTAGCCTCCAGAAGTGGCAGAGGTGGTGGGTGTTCCAGACAGGATGAGGCAACTCCAGCGTGGCCACACCTGCTCAGAGCTGCCTTTGTGCCAGTTTCTAGAAGGCGTAGGGAGATAGCCACAGGCACGTGGCCTACTGGATGGCGTCTTCCTTGGTGGACGGGGCCCTACACCCACATCCACAGCTTATC